TATAACCAGGCATAAAGCAATCTACCATATTTGTCATGCATGTCCCCATCCTAGGAAGAAAGTGACACCTCTACCATCTTTCAGAGGGTAGATGCAGCTAAATTTTTGTTCTGCTACAGCACCAAATAGACTGCCTTGGAGCAGCCGCTTGCTCCCATTCCAGCAACTGAAATGGAGCCAGCGGGATTTTCTCTCTCTGATGCATTAAGAGATTTCACATTGGAAATACAGTTCGAGAACAGCTGTTGCTTGCTCCCTCGTGGCAGGCATGGAAGAAAATTAATTCCCCATGATCTGTAAGGGGCGGAGCAGGCCTTCCTGATGGAGGAAGCGAGTTCACGATTCATTCAGCTGCTCAGTCGAGCCCGGTTGCCTTACCTCGCTGCTCCAGGCTTTCTCCTTGACCCCAAGAAGAGAATTCTGGGAATTGCTTGCAAGTCTCCCTGGTAGGCTTCAGACACAACAACAAGGAGTTGCCAGTAAGGTGACAATGGGGTTGACAATAAGGCGAGAGGCAGCAATAAGCTCCTCCTGGGTGGGAAGTGAACTGGAGTTGCTGCCGCTGGACCAGGAGGAAGTGACCAGCGCTAACCCTGGGATGGACAGAGAAGCAGAGTCAGCAGTTCAAAACAGGAGGGGGGATCCTTCCCCCCTTTTCTCTCTGCATCTTCCTCCATACACTCTTTCTTCTCCTTTCTGCTTTCTGACTCTCTCTCTCTCTCTCTCTCTCTTCCTGCCCAACAGGCTTCCAGCAGAGGGGCAGATTGGTCTTGTCAGAGATCCAACCTGTCCACTTCTAGAGGGGTTCCCCACCCACCTTTCTCCGTTGACTCCATCTGCTTCGGCTGTCCCACTGTTTCCCACCTCCAACACTCTGCCTTATAATGAAATTCAGCCCTGTTCCAGCATAGCTGGTTCTGGCTGTTTGTGGCTACTTCTGTTAAAGAACCTAACTACTGTTGTTAATGCTCTGGTAACCTCTAGGCTAGATTAGTGCAATGAGTTATATGTAGGGCTGCCTCTGAAGATGGTTTGGAAACCTCTGCTAGTGCAGAATTCGGCGACCAGGTTGCTCATCAGGACAAGACAGTTTGCAGCAATCCTGGCCTGACAGCACTTACTGCCAGTTAGTTTCTGGGCCCAATTCAAAGTGCTGGTTTTGACCAATAAAGCCTTAAATGGCTGAAGGACCGCCTCCCTCCATATGAACTTACCTGGACCCTGAGATAATAATCTGAGGCTCTTCTTCATGGGCCTCCTCCACAAGAGGTCTGGAGGGTGGCAACACGAGAATGGGCCTCTTCCACAGTGGCTCCCCATTTGTGGAATGCTCCCCTCCCCCAAAGTCTACCTGGTGCCTTCATTATACGCCTTTAGGTGCCACGCAAAAACTTTTCTCTTCAACCAGGCCCTGGACTGACTGACATCTGATCACCTTTGACATGGAAGGGTGGGTGGGTGGGGTGATTATTGGTTTGTCCTTATTTTTATCATGTATGTTGCTTTTTATTATGTTATAATTTTATGTTGTGAAGTGCCCTGAGATCTATGGATGAAGGGCAGTATACAAATCAAAAGGAAGGAAGGAAGGAAGGAAGGAAGGTGGGGAAATCTATGGCTCTTCACATGTCATTGAACTTTAACTCTCATCAACCCGAGCCAGCTTGGCCAATGATCAGGGATGGTGAGATTTCTTGGAGGTCACACTCTCCCCATCACTGTGCCAAGGCAACCAGCAGCCTCCTTTTGCTTTCAGGTTTAGAAGAGCACTTGCTGGAAAGAAAAGTCATTCCTTTGCATTATTCTGCCATCTGCTGGGGTTTGGCTGTCAAGACAGCCACTCTAGTCCTTGGTGACTGGGGTGCTGGCCAGATCTGTATCCCTTTGTCCATAATGGTAATCCTATATCAGGTCAGCTTACTGTGAGGTTGGCCCTCCAGATGTTCTTGGACTCCCATCTGCCCCAGTAAGCATGGTCAATGGCCAGGGATGATGGGAGTGGTAGTCCAGCGACATTTGCAGGACCACAAGTCCTCCAACTCTGAGCTATAGATTTATACTTCATCAGAGCATAAGAAAGACACCTGTTGGATCAGGCCAAAGGTCCATCTGGTCCAGCATCTGTTTTGTACAATGGCTGACCAAACACTTCTGAGAAGACCACAAGTAGAATCACAGAATCACAAAATCATAGAGTTGGTAGGGACCCCCAGGGTTCATCTGGTCCAACCCCCTACAACACAGGAATCTCAACTAAAGCATCCATGACAGATGGCCATTCAACCTCTACTTAAAAACCTCCAAGGAAAGAGGGTCCACAGCCTCCCGAGGGAGACCATTCCACTGTTGAATGGTTCTTAATCTCAGAAAGTTTTTTCATATGTTTAGTCAGAATCTCCTTTCTTGTAACTCAAAACCATTAGTTCGAATCCTACCTTACAGAGCAGGAGAAAACAAGCTTTTCCCCTCTTCCATGTGGCTGCCCTTGGGATACCTGAGGATGGCTATCATTATCCCTCTCAGTCTCCTCTTTTCCATGAAAGGTAGGTCATGAAATTATGTTGTTGTTTACGGTAGTCGTTTAGTCGTGTCTGACTCTTTGTGACCCCATGGACCAGAGCACACCAGGCACTCCTGTCTTCTGCTGCCTCCTGCAGTTTGGTCAAACTCATGTCGGTAACTTCGAGAACACTGTCCAACCATCTCGTCCTCTGTCATCCCCTTCTCCTTGTGCCCTCCATCTTTCCCAACATGAGGGTCTTTTCCAGGGAGTCTTCTCTTCTCATGAGGTGGCCAAAGTATTGGAGCCTCAGCTTCATGATCTGTCCTTCCAGTGAGCACTCAGGGCTGATTTCCTTAAGAATGGAGAGGTTTGATCTTCTTGCAGTCCATGGGACTCTCAAGAGTCTCCTCCAACACCATAATTCAAAAGCATCAATTCTTCGGCAATCAGCCTTCTTTATGGTCCGGCTCTCACTTCCATACATCACTACTGGGAAAACCATAGCTTTAACTATACGGACCTTTGTTGGCAAGGTGATGTCCCTGCTTTTTAAGATGCTGTCTAGGTTTGTCATTGCCATGAAATTATAGTCTTCCCTATTGTCCCTTGTTGTTCACCCCACCCTTTTAAAAAAAGGGGCATTCAGAGTTATACCACATCTGAAGGCGGGGTTTCCATATAAGCATCAAAGCTAATTGCCAGGCTTCAATTTGTCCATGAATTTGCCTGATCAAAGTATAAGCATCCATTGGCTTCACACAAATGAAACATTTGCATGCCAGCCATTATCTACTCATCTATTGCTTATGTTGCCATTCAGAACTGCAATTTTATTTTATTTCTTGCAGTGTGGAGTGCTCCTGCCCAGTATTCCAGCCAATCAGTCATGCTTTCTTTGCACTGAAAAAATCCCCATATATTGCTAGCAAAACTAATCAAGGGGAGGGGCAGTGTCCTCTCATCCAGGGCCGGCCCACCCATGAGGCAAAATGAGGAGTTGGCCTCGGGCGGCAGATCTGGGCCCAAGGAGTGTACTGCCTCCTTCACCACAGGGGACCATACCACATCCCTTCCACCTCCTCCAAAGGCATTCCCCACTGCCATGCCTACGCCCCCTGTGGTGGAGAGAGTGTACCATGGTACAGCATGCCCACAGCAGAGGAGGACGAGGAGTGTAGCAGGGCACATCCGCAGAGGAGGTGGCAAGACAGGGGCATGGCAATGGCAGGCAACAGGGGTTTTGCCTCGAGAAACAAAACCACCCAGGCCAGCCCTGCTCCCGTCCCCTAATCTTATTTTGAGTGCAACCAGCCCCATCTCAGAAATCAGGAGAGTGTGAACTTTGCATTTAGTACGCCACAAAAGCAATGCTCAACGGGCTTCAAGGAAAGTGTTTGCCACCTGTTCTAAGGTACTTCCTGATTTCCAGAACGGCTTAGGACTGCAATACCGCAAGGACCACCTCTTTCCTTATGAACCTACACAGACCCTGATATCATCTTCTGAGGCCCTCCTTCATGTGCCTCCTCTTCCTGGAGAGGTTTGGAGGGTGGCAACAGGAGAATGGGAACTTCCCCAGGGAAGTTCGCCTGGCGCCTTCATTAAACACCTTTAGGTGCCAGGCAAAAACATTCCTTTTTAACCGGGCCCTTGGCTGGTTTGATTGACATCTTATGCCCTTTTAAAATGTGTCTCTTTTCGGGGGGCTGTTATTGGGTTATTGTTTTTATTTTGATTTTATATATTGTGATCTTTCTGTGAACTGCCCTACGACCTCCACATATAGAGCAGTATATAAATTCAATAAATGAATAATAAATAAAATAAAATAACTTTTTTTGGGGGGGGGAATGTAATTCCACTGCCTCTAATGTACTTCCTAAACATCTCTTTCCTGTTGTTGTTGAGGCTGCTGTTTTTTCATCGCTTTTTACAAAGCGACTTGCAAAATATTAAAATGCAGAACAAGTTATCAGATATTTAAAATCCATGATAATAATAATAATAATAATAATAATAATAATAATAATGTCCTTCCATCAAAAAGAAGAGGAAAGACAGAACCTACTCCTATCCCACCTCCCGCCAGCTCAGGTTGGTATATGGGGGTGAATGGGGCAGAGCCTCGCCAATCTCAGCCTGCCCTCAGCCTGCCCCCACCTGGCTACCTTCACACTTACAACCAGTCCAGGAGGTGACACTGCCAATCTGATTCCTCCTTCTTAGTCTCAGTGCTGCCCCTTGTAAAACTAAGTAGAAGGAGAAGATGGGGACAAAACTAGAATGAGTTGGTTCTGGCTGCCATCGACTCTCTGGCGCCACCTACTGTTGGGCTCCCTGCCTTCTGCCCTACCAGTCCTAAAGGGCATCAGCCACCACTGCCTACCCCACCCCATTCCAACATCAAAAGAGGCTAAAATCAAGCCGCATGGAATTGCAGAGCTGGCAGGAACCCCACGGGTCATTCGGTCCAACCCCTTGCAATGCAGGAATCTTATGCCCACCGTGGGGCTCGAACCCATGACCTTGAGGTTAAGAGTCTCACGCTGTACTGACTGAGCTATCCACAGGGAATCAAAAGCCTGCATAAGCAGGAATCTCTTTTGCTTGGCTTCCCAGCAAAGGTGAGACCAGCAGGTATTATGATGCCCTCAACCCCATCCAATTCCCTTCCCTGGGGAAAGGAGTGGGAGGCCGATGTTTACAAGCTATATATCTGTTACCTGGGCTGATAAAAGGCAACACCCAGGCAAGCTTTCTCACTCCCGCACAGGCTGGTAAAGAGCAGTTGGTTTCCATGGGAACAAAGGCCGGGCAGCGGGATGAGGAAGCTTCAACATTGTTTGCTGATAAGGACAGGAGGGTGCTGCAAAAGGTTCCCCTCCACCCTAGATTCTGCACATCACCCACCACACTACATATGGGGAAAGTACCTTTTTGGACATGCAAGTGCGCCCCACAATTATGAGGGGCAATGATATTCCCACCCTCATTTCCTCGCCTTTGTCGTTTAGCTGCTTTGTCCTGCCCGGCAAGATGTCACTCCTGAATTCTACAGAACTAGGATGCATGCGAGCATCCCGAGGGCCACATCTGGCCCTCTCAGAGACCTTCAGCGTGGCCTGCATCAGTGGCTAAGCTTCCTTAAGCTGCTGAACCTTTCCCCTGCTGCTGAATTTTGCTGTCTCCCCCTCAGCCTGCACACTGTGCTCCCCAAGCAAATTGTGCTTCCCGCCCCGCTGAAGGCTTCGAAACAGCAGGATGGTGAAGGGGAGGCTGGGTTTGAGATACCTGGGGAGGGAGAGAGAGAGAGAGAGAGTGATCCCAACCACCAGACCCTTCTTACAACCAAATATCCTCACAACCAGGGCTTATTTCAGCTGGAACTCACCAGTTCTCAGTTCCAGCACCTCTCAGACGGACGCCATTACCATTATAAGAGAACAAAGGACTCCAGAAAAACAGCACTGCTCACAACCAAATATCTGAAAGGTATGCAGCAAGGAAGATGGAGCGAGGTTGCTTTCTGCTGCTCCTGAGGGAAGGGCCCAAACCCATCAATTCAAATTACAAGAAATGAGATTCTGAATAAACATTAGGAAGAATTTTCTGATGGTAAGAGCTCTTCGACAGTGGAAGAGACTACCTTGGAAGGTGGTAGACTCTCCTCCACTAGAGATTTTGAAACACAGGTTGGATGGGCATCTGCCTGGAATTCCTGCATTGCTGGGAGCTGAACTAGATGAGCCTTGGAGTCACGTACAGCTCTACAATTCTGTGATTCTACAAATACAGCTCAACTGTTCCAGAAGCAATGCATCTACCGCAGAAAGTAGGTTTGCTGTTGCTGCTGCTTTTGCTCCGAGTCTGAAAGGCTTTTCCGTGCCAGATTGTGGAAGCTGACAGATGATGAAGCCGCTAGCCTAACATTTACAAACCACGATTGCAGGAACCAAACGTGTGGCTTTCCCCAGCTGTTTCAACCCATATTGAAGCCACAAGGATTCTTTATTCCTACATTGGTGTTGTTGCTTTTCTGCAGTGTGCCAAATAACGTCTGTGATCGTAACAGCAGCAGAAACTGACGACAACATTTTAGCTCATTTACAAATCACCAACAATGACAAGAGTAACATAATAACTCTAACAGGAAAGGAAGAGAGGAGTTTTGTACAGAGCCATCTTTCCTATTGGGCTTACTGGCGCATTGCGCCAGGGCACTGGCCTCTCAGGGGCGCCCCAGCGAGTGGGGGAGCTGCGCGGCTTTGCCGGCGGCCTCCCCTTTCCCTGCATGCCCACCAGCTATGCCCTGTCAACCATACAGCTGGAGGGCATGCAGCTTGCCTCCCAAGCCTCTGCGAGAGGAGAGCGATCCCTGCAGAGGCTTAGGATGGAAGCTGCGCCACGCCAACTATATGGCTGGTGAACACTCAGCGTCCTTCCCAAGCCTCCGCGGGAGGAGAGTGAGCCCCACAGAGGCTTGGGAAAAAGTTGACAACTCTGGGAAACAGGGCAGGGGGGGGGGCAACAGCGGGATCTTTGCACCACAGCTCCGGATATGCTTAAGACGGCCCTGCTTCTGTAACATTCCAAGTGAACAGAAATTAAAAAATAGAACAGGTCTTTCAAACAGGTACCTTTGAAGACAAGGCCAACCTATCTATGAGACAAGGTAAGGTGACCACCTCAGGGGGCAGGTTCCACAGGGCAGCAGATCCCAATGTTACTCTTTCGTCCTCCCATGTTCATGATCTCCCCTCACTCCTTCCTCCTTGGCAACGAGGGAGCACCATTTTGAGGTCCACCTCAGGTGCCAAAACGTCTTGGGCTGGCCTGATTAAAGAGGATGCTGCCAACCCACATAGCATAGCTATCCGAAGAAAGTTCCGCTCCACCCAGTACATGGCTAAACTATGGGATTTGTGTCCACAAGGTGATTTTCATTTCAACCTTGGTGACAGGCCAGTGTCCTTGGTTTGACCTGTGGGCCGCAAGTTTGTTTAAAGAGTAGGGATGGGAGGGAAATTCAATTCAGTTTTCATTGAAAGGTGAAACTACCTAACTTTCTTCTCCTTCTCCCTCTCCTTCTCCTTCTCCTTCTCCTTCTCCTTCTTCTGGAATGTTTCAGGAATGCTTCCCCCATCATTTATTTTATTTTTGCCACCCTTTGCCATTGGTTATTTGGTCCTGCTTGAATCAACAACTGCCGCCGGGTGATCTTTTTTTTGACACACAAGACTTCAGAGGGAGGGAAGGAAGCATTGTACTCACTCTGGACTGGCTTCACGGTGGCACCATATGATAGCATCTGAAGCCTACTCACAATGAGGGTGATCTTCCCTGGCCCTCGCTCTGGAATCTTGGGACATGGGGGAGGGGAGAGAATCTTGCCCAGCAACACCAAGGAACGTGATTTCTGCCACTGCTCATTTCACCCTGTAATTCAGCTGTGCACCCTCCCCAATCCCCCATACGTGCCCCCTTGCAACCTGCAAACAGGGTGGCAAAATTGGAAGAGGGGAATTTCACTCAGTATCAGTTGCTTCACTTGCATTCCACCCCCGCCTGCAGTCATGTTTTATTCGCAGGGCTGGAAATGGCTTGGTTCACTGTTGTAAAACAGGGTTCTCTCTGCTTCACTTCCAAAGACCTCAGGGAACCCTCCTACTTTGAAATATAGAGCAAGGTTTCAGTTTGAGGGCATCTGTTCTGGTGCCTTGACTGCACTGGAACCTGATCGGATTATGCTTACAGAGGAGCTGACCCGTGACATTGCTAACAAACCAAGGCTCAAGTGTTGGATTAATTTTTCATACTTCCATGTGGCTCTGCGTGCAATCTGCTGACCACGTCAATCAAGGCCTGGTGGGATAGTAACAGCATGTCTTATTCAGCTACCTCTCTGGTTTCTGTTAAAACGCTGCAGATTTCAGATGGGGAGGCTTAAGAAATGTGATCTTTACAAATTCTGGTACAAACTAACCTGATCTGTAGCTCCTGGAGTAAGATGCCGTTTGGAGCTGAACTATTCACACAATTTCACACTTTCTCAATGTTCTAATGCAGTTCTTGACTTTAAAAAAAAAGTCAAAATATATTTAGAATAGGAAAGAGGAGAACATCATTTGTCCACTTTTTTTTTTCAATCCACTGATCCATTTCACCAGTTCTGGACTTCTGTGTAGACCAGAACAGAACTACGAATCAGAATGCTTCCCTGAATTTTTGCAGTACAGTGGCACTTCGAGTAATGCGCGCACAAAAAATATTTAATGTAAAGAATGAATACCATGAAACATTTTAATGAAAAGCAGCATAGAAATCTAATAAATCAAAATCAAATATTTGTCATTCAGGAGAAGAATGCATGCAAAACACACACAAAATGTGTGTAAGTGTGTACAATTTAAATGTTAAGCTTTGTGCATTGAATGCCCCACCCCACAAAGAAGGAGATGGAACAGAAGATCTGAGCACACATGAAATGGAAATGAAATGGAAACAGGATGCTGTTTCCTGAGACTTTAGCAATGCTTTCCTTGAGAGAAAACACATTTATAAACGTGTGTTATGAAGGAAAATATTAGGGATGTGCACTGGATTCAGCCAGAGTCCTAAGGGCAAGGTAGATTGGACTGATTTGGAGGGATCTGGGTTTTGCCCAAGTTAGCTGGAGACAGGCCCAGATTTTGTTGGGTCACACCCTCGGGTTGTAAAGGGTCAGGTCTAGGGAGGGGGCAATGCCTGAGAAGAACCTCAAATACCAGGTAGACAGGCCTGGGGGAGCAACATTTGCCCCAGGGCTCTGAGGTTCCCCATTCTTGCTTTAAAGGCATGCAAGCTTCCAAGCTGTATATAGTTATTAGCTGAACAAACTACAAGAAAATGTTACATATTATTAGCTTCTGAGCTAATGAAAAGGCCAACTCCCAAGAGACTGCGATCTACTCACAGAGTTAAAAACTGACAGTAATCTACCCCCTTTTGGGGGGTTCAGGTCAAAGTTGTTGAGCTTTTTTTTAGGAAAGCCACACTATAATTGGATAATGGTTCTAAGTCAAATGAATATGTTTGTTATCTTTGGGAAACTGGTGTCATTCTAAGGATAGCTTTTGTCTTACTTGCATCCCTGCTTGCCATTTTCTTGGTGCTTAATCTCACGAGAATGGAAACAGATGGAAGAATGGGAAAGAAACCTAGAATTAGTTTGGCTCGGCTGGTCATTGCCTCCGGCTGTTTGGCTCCACCTGCCTTCTGCCCCACCTGTCCAAAGAACACTAGTTACTACTGCTGCAAGCATTACCCTCACTCAGAATAGGCTATCTAATGAAAGCCAAGAGTGGGGAACCTGTGGCCCTCAGATGTTTCTGAACTGCAACCTTGTTATCCCTGACCATTGGCCATGCTGGCTGGGGCTGATAGGAGCTGGAATCCAGCGGCATTTGAAGGTGCCACAGGTTCCCCATCCCCAATGTAGGCAATTGAAGACTGTCCCGAGTGAGGGCAATCATTCCTCTGTTCATTCTGAATTTATTATCCTTTTCGTCCCATGCCACAGGGTCCTTC